GGGACTTTGGAGAGATGGGAGAGTATATGCCAGGAGGTTTAAACTGATAGAGGCAGTATGCAGGAGGTTTCTTTTATCACTCAGACTCCACTACCTTGGCACAGTGCTGCTACTCTATGAAAGTTCTCAATGCTCTGTCCTTCTTGGTTGCCCTGTGGCCCTCTTCATCATTATTATTTTAGCATCTCGAAATCACTAATGTGTTTATCTTAATTCCACTTTCAAGATGTATCAAGAGCCTGACCAATGCTTTCTAAATGGACAGAAAGAGATAAAGTCCACAGTGGTGGATCCAGAGGTACACTGTTGATGCCACAATGTCTAACCTTCAAGTCCTTGGCACCAGGGTTAATTTGTGCGCTTACTGCATAGATGGTACTGGGGTCGACTTTGAAAAGAGATGTGTGTCTTGTATCCTGCTTATTTCACAGGCATACATCCCCATCTCCAAGCTTCATAGCCTGGGAACCTTACTTCTGGGTAGATCTTCCAACTGGCCGTACAAAAGAAAACAATGATTCTCTGTGGTTTTTGTTGTTTTGTTTTTTTTTTAAGAGGACTTTGCAGAGAAGAGAGTGAAAAAGTCTATTATATCGCTGCAAAAATAAACTGCAATGAGAGGCCAAAGCAGAAATTTTCCCAACCGCTACAGTCTTAGTGGTGAAATTTATCACTTACTCGATGATTGAAAGACTGTAGGAACAAATGTTAGGCTGTCATTCTAAGTTAAAGACATTTGTTAAGCATTTATTTTGCTTTATCTTTTCTGTTTTTTTTTTTTAATTTTTGTTTGTTTGTTTTTAAATGAATATGCACTCTCATAAGGGTACTATACCCCGGAAAGGCATTTTGTACAATGAGTACTGAAAGGCTCTAATTCAACTTCAACAAAAAAGGATCAAAATATTTTCATAGCTATTGTTACAAGATTATTGTTCACAGCTCATATGTTTGGTTAACTGTGTGGCATCTGATTTGGATATCTGGATATGATACTACAATCATGAATGGGTAATAAAGCTACATAGTAAATACCTAAAAGTTTTTACTAACGTAACTGTTAGAGTTAAAATGTCTATATTGGTTTTTCTTATTCTGTTCATCCAGAAAGCTGGTTACAGTACTAGCAGTGCATTGGTTGGATGCAACTGACAGAAGTTCTGATGATCTTAAAAAGATCATTAACATAAAGAAAAGCTTAGATAAATGATATATACTTTGAATAACAGATAAAGATGCTTAGAAATACTTACATATAACATAGAATTAAAAAATATTTTCCTGAAAGCATAAAAATGCTTAAAATCTGGCCTTTCTTTCCAGATCTGTGCATTCAGTTAGATGAATAAAATATATATGCATTTTTTCTTTGGTTTCACAGTCTACTAATAGGGTTTTCCATGCCCATTATTTTAGATATGTGTCTCCTCATAAAAACACACTGTTGGGAAGAACATAAAGAAAAATCATCGCATTTATATTGCTGTAGACTGTAGGTAGGAAGACTACTTTTCTGCATTGGAGTTTAGAGACGCTTTTGTTAAAGGAACCACAGAGTGGTATATGATAAACAAGCACAACCTAATCCCAGCTGGATACAAAGACAAATCCATAGATTGTAATAATGTTGGTGCTTCTTGCTCTTTTCCCTGCCAACTTGCTTGCTCACATATTTTATAGAGAAGGAAACTCAATGTTTATGGTGAGATGTGAATCCTGATATACCTGATATCCTCATCTTGGCATCTATGGAGACATAGCATCAGGACAGGGAAGCAAATTTGTCATTTCATTGTCTTCTAATTTGGAGTAAAAACACCTCTAAATAGCTGGCCTTCCAGTGTGGCTCGCTCTTGTTATTTCTCAATGGCACAGCACATCACATTGCTAAATGTAAATTGCTCTTGGCTAGTTTTTCAAAGTAACTTGACAACATAGTTGATTTTGCTCTAACATAATCTAGAAACTGTTTCCCAGTAGTGGGACAAAGGGAATGTGAATAAACTATTAAGCAGAATTCCTTGAAGTTGCTTGCAATACATATCATATTTTGCTTAACTACAGCAATCTTCCTAGGTTCAAATGCTCTACTTAGATGCATTCAGTGATTACACGAACTGTATAGATTTCATACGTTAGATGAAACCGCTTAGAATACTAATGTTATATGCTTTGCAATAATGCAATGAATCCCAATTTGGCTTTGATTGCAATAACCTGGAGTCAAATGTGCAAACCCTTGCTAATTTAAGTTGATTTTACCTTTATCATTTTGCATATTACATGATCTAGACCCACACAAACAAAAGCTTGTTTGGACTTACCGTGCTTTCCTTTTCAGAAAACAGAATTCTTTTTAATTAAAAACACTTAAAAAAAATCAGTATGTGTAATTGCTAACACCTGCTATGTGTTACTAACAGATGTTTCTTACTTACCTAAGGGAACTGTTATAATTACACTATAAGCTTATTGGAATGGCATTTAACCAAGATAGTTTAGGAACTTTAGGTGGTGACTTTGTGTTCTTTTATTCATCTTTCCTCTTAAAAACTTAAAAAAAAACCCAACCCAACCAGCCCTCATCACTCATCTCCCCAGCTCATATTCACCAAATGAAGTTCACCACAATGAAGCTTTGGATGTTCAGCCTACACTTTCTCTTTGACCCATCCCTGAGCATCAAAGAAGAGTTTGGATGTGTTGTTCCAACTGTAGCACTGAAGCTTATCCGGGCACAGTCCAGGACAGGGTGGTTGTGTGAGGTTTTCTGAGTCGTGCTTGTAATAATTTGAGAAGTGCAGACATGCTGAATAATCTTGGGCACCCCACTTAAATGTCTCTGCCTCTCTATTCTTCCCTGTGAAATACCAGCAATGCGGCCTGTTGGGAGGTCTAAATCAAGGTCTAGGAGATCTTCAGATTAAAGTGGAGGTCTGTATGACTGGTTCTGAGTGTTGTCCTGCAACTAGGACCTTGCAGTCCATAGGCAGGCTGGCCTCATGGGCACTGCAGGGGTCTGCTGGCATGACAGGTTGCAGGAGGTACGGTGTATTCCTGCATCTTCAGACTCAACTGTAGAGCAAGACACTCCAAGTTCTCCCTGTGCATCTTCATTTATGAAACTAATCACACAATTACCTGCAGGCATGAGTTAAATATGACACTGGTCTCTGCAAAATAATGGGCCAATTGCAAACAATGAATAAAGAGAGGCAGCTCCATTTATAACTGCTGTTTCAACAGAGCTGTGTTGTAATCAAAGTGATCTGAGGGTGACTCATTAATTAATTGATGTTCTTTTTTATTATGTGCTATTGAGTTAATGAGTAATTTGTGCTAGATAACTCTCTGAACACACTGATTACGTGAGATATTTTCTGGGGCTTTCATATCAGTGACATGCTGAATAGGTGGAAGATGGTATTTGCTTATGTATACTCATTAATAGCAGGTTCAGGATGAATATAAATCAGCAGAAGGGCATTTTAAAAGGTATTAAATACATGCAACCCCTACTTTAAGGCTTTAAACAGATACTCTTCAGCTTTTAATGCCTTAAATAGTATTAAAATCACTTCCTTTATAATACTTCTGTCACCCACAATTGGCAGCTTCTAGAAAGGGTGCCTACACAAAAGGTTTTTTACTGGGAGCATGTTTGTGCTAATGGCCTATTACCTTGCACATATTGTATTTAGGTTTCCTTTTGCAAGATACTGAACAGTAAACAGGTTTGGTCTGCATTATTAGACTGAAGGTGGAGAAATGTATTAAATGAATATGTAATTGGCTTTTTTCATCTGAAGTGGTATTTAAAAGAATAAAAACACTGTTCTGATATACAGTACACACTTTGCTTTCTGTAGTTTGAGTTGTTAAAGCTTTTGCTTTATTGAAACCACAACATCTCCAATGCCATAGGAGTTTTTTATTCATTAAACAACAAATGGCTAAATTGATAATTTAGTCTGACAACAGCAGCACAGTGGAAGCTTTCAGAAGAATCAGCTAAATGTACAAAATTATACCCAGCAATCACTACAGACCTTCATTTTTGACATGATTTGTTCTAGGTACAGATGACTGTAAACTACCTACTGCTGAGAAAATTATAAGAAGCTGCTGTATATTACATGGAAAGAAGCCTTTAAAGTATTTTGTAAGGCGAAACCTTGCCACAGTCCCTCTTTGTTTGTTTCCTTTCCCTACAGTCTCCCTTCTCACTGACCACTTTTCAATCTATTTTCTGCAATTCATTTTTTATGTAGGCAATTTTGAACATTTGAGGGGTTGCTGGATGATTTTTCTTTATTTACATTACATGAGCATAAATTTGAGCATTTTGGGAATGCAGGAAGACATAAGAAGGTGCGCATAAAAAAAAAAAAAAAATCAAACCAGAAAATATATTAAGCAAGATAAAAGTACAATTATGAAACACATCAACTTTTAGCCCTGGTCACTGCTTCTGCAGAATCCAGGCTGTCTTGATTCATCACCGGTCATGGCAGGCAACAGACAGATTATGGTTGGCAGAGGAGCTTTCTACAGTTGAAAAATCAAGGTTCGCTAATTTGTCCTTTTCCATGTGGCTTAAAAAAAACAGCAATCCAAGAATAATAGAGTTAAAAAAATTATTGTTGTTATTATTATAATTTTTGCCTGGCTAAACTTGCAGATTTGTACAGACAAAGATTAAAATACCTTAACAACAGGAAATTTAAGTGGAAGCATTCCTGCCTGGCAAATGAGCACTGAGCAATGGTCACTAGCAGAACATTTTGTTGTATGCAGACAGAGCATATTGACACACACAGTGATGGAGAAGGAAACCTAAGGTAGACAACTAAAAGCAACCCAAAAAAATTGTCAGTAGGCCTCTGTCAAAAAGATCAATAAAATGGCCTGACAGATAAATCTCTCTTCAACGTTGTCTTATGATATTATACTTCATTGGAGTTGTAAAGGTTTCCATTAAATACTTTAACTCCCAGTTATTAACAGCGGGTCAAGATTGACGTTTGAAATACAGAAAAATGTGTATAATCGATCTATGACCTATATCAAGTCTAAATTTATACTGTATCCTCTATATACAGATTTTAGATGTTTATGTGAATAAGATATAAGAGCTTAAAGTGCTCAAAGCAATGCTGCACCATTGCAGCGCTTTTAAAACAAGTGTATCAATCAACATCTTTTTATCCTTATGTCAATTAAGTTTGATAGAATGGTGAAGCTATTATTTTCTCCATAACATGATCACCCTCTTCTTCCACATTTTGAGCATATGTCCCAAAACACGTGTGCACATGTGAGTAACATGGCATGTAACGATAAGCCACTATTTTCCCATTCCACTGTTTTAATTTACACCATAGAGAGGTGAGCAGTGGCACTTTGTGGTAATGAGAGAGTGCTTTGGCGTTTACAGCTCTATTCGTGTGCAATTGCCTTCTTCCCTGACAAAGCCTTTCATTGGCTTAGCTGTTTTTGGTGCTCTCCTGCCTCAGATCTGTGGTTACCTACTGCACATATGAATGCTCTGCTTCTCCCAGAATGCTGCTGGTAACATTTGCATGCATAGCTCTTGGTTTTCTGAAGAGCCAAAAATGCTTTACAAAAGCAGTGTATGCATTAGCCCTGTTCAGCACACAGGGTCAACTGAGGCACAGAGATATTGAGTGACTTGCCCAAGCTTACAGCAAGTCAAAGGCAGAACCAAGGTCTCCTCTTTCCTGTTCCCCACCCCTATTTCTGAACCAGGGATTTCTGTCCAGTCTACTCGTGAAAAACACAAGAGAGATCTTTCTGGTTTCTAACTGAAAGACACAGCAAGGGCTGGAGAAAAATATTGAGACTGGAGTAAAAATGAGATGATCCTTTCTTTTTTTTTGGCCATCCTCACCTTCATGGAAAAGACAAACTTGTTTATTGCACTTGAAGTAAATTTGGAAGAGCCTAAGAGTACCTCTGACATCAACTGCTTCGTCATCGCAAAGACATTAAGGGACTGTAGAACGGAGTGGAAGAGAGACTTGTGCTCAAGGTTAGGAAGAAAGTCCACAAAATAGGGCTAAATTTAATTTGAAAAATTATGGGGATCTATTTCTTCTGATTAACAAGAATAGCTCGAGGTGTGGTTGCATATCTTACTGGTCTTGTATGAGTCAAAGTCAAATGTTGTGAGCCATGCTTATTCTTAAAAGTGTTCACAGCCAGAAACAAAACCACACAGTAACAAGAGTCATTAGAACTAAACATCCATTTCTAAGTCAAACCACTGCGCAGTGTACTCCAAACCATATGCTAGAGGAATTACCCCACTGCATTACAAAGTTTCTTCCCCCATCCCCAGGAAACACATGTTGAAACTGTGTGACAGGACAGGAAGAGCAGGGAAAGACAGCACTCAACTTCGGCAGGGGTGAGCATTCTTCGTCTATATAAAAGCAATGAGCTCAGCTTCATGGCAACATACGGTATAGTGGGCCTCTTCTCTTTCCTTCCTGTTTTTCTTTTTCCCCCTTTATGTTGTTTAAAATGCAGGCTGTTTCCCAGCAAGATAGATTACAGTACCAAACAGAAAAGAATTAAATATGCATTCAACAACTTTTAAAAACATTCATCCTGCTTTCCTTTGCCAAACACCTGTAAGTTCTGTCAGGGGCATGAGCACTTAGGGACATCCTGCTGATGCAATAGCTTCATGGCTTTAAAAACAGAGGTCCACCTCTCCTAGAAAACAGACTGACTGCCAGCAGTAGCTGTCAGCAGTGATTCCACCTCTGTCTGAAGGATTTTAATTGCCAGTATTGATAGGACAAAGCTGTAGGATGTTGGCATGAACAGCAAAGTACCTGTGCAGTCAAAGTGTGGTCACTCTCACTTTCTGTATCGGTATTTCAAAGTTTTGTCCCATCTACAACAGCATTTAAATTACCTTCAGCATTCAGGGAGGTGGGTAATTAATAACCAGTCACTCTCCTAGTGTCAGCTCAGGGTCATTTCCTTCATGTAAACAGCCCCTCAGAGGGGGCTGTTTACGGTGCCTTCTACTTTCACTTTTTTTCCAGGGTTTGTTGAGGACATAACCCCGGAAAATTTTATGGAGTTAAGCCCTGGTTAAAAAAAGAAAAGAAAACCACAACAAAACCAAAAACAAAAGAAAAAAGGAAGAGAGACAGAGAGAGAGCCCCCAAATTTTAAGAACTTTTAAAAATGTATATGACCAGAAGTCCTCTCCTGTTCCCCTCCCCCCAAGTGAAATGATTTCAGAAAAAACATATATATTTTTTAATATATATATAAAACAAGATACCCAGAGGCACTGGTTTGCATTAGGGCTTAATTTCCAGCTAAATTAATAATCAAATACAGGCATTTTGAATGCCTATGGGGCATAAAAGCAGCACCCAAAATCATTAACTTTTGCACCTTTTATAATATATCCCAAACCGGTCAGGTATGTTTTGCAAAATTTTGTAGTAAAATAAAAGTGCTCTTTAAGGAAAATCTATTCAATTAAACAGCAGATGCTTAACCCCTGAAAAATAGAGGCTTTTAACAGAAGTGCTGATAGACCCTTAACCATAGCATCATTAGCAGCAGGTGCTGCTAGAGTTATTAGTTTTCTAAATAGTTTTAATGTAAACAGTATTCTTAAGCTCTAAGTGTAGAATAATGGTTGGGATTTGCTCTTTAATGCTTTTTACTAGAAAGATACAGCTCATTTAAAATAGCTGGTAGATACAGAAAGCCATAAATATACAGTAAGTTTAGACACTGATTGTACTAAATGCAACAATACAAAGAAGCAAACAGGAACACAAATGGTAACACAATAAAACTGTATTACATTTGTGCTTCAAATATTACAATACATTATATACAATAGTCCAAAATAAACATCTCATGCCAAATGACACAAAAAGAAACAAAAAACCCAAACAAACCAAAAACCCCAAGAGCAAGCAAAAAGAATCCAGCTGTATGTACAGTACCTTTTTAATTAACATTCAACTCTGAACTGGAGCAATTTTCACTACATACAGATGCAGTCCGCCTTTTATTTCACGCAACCATTCTGTCTCCCTATATCTATGCTATTCAGTAGGTTCCTGTGTCATTTCTTATATACATGTTGAGCAAAAAAGATAAAAGAACATAGTGCTTTGTATTCTTAATGATGTGGCATCAGATCAGCGAACCTGGGGTGCATAACCTTCTTTCATTAAACCCTCCTCATAGTCTGTTTGGCACAGAATCATGTTGTTCTTCAGAAAAAATTTGTCTCCAACGCAAAATCTGAAATTACAATAATAAAGGGGAGAATAAAAGATAATGTCAGGATGAATGATGTGATATGATCTTACACATAAGGACTGTACAACAAGTGTTCACGGTTTCGTTGTAGTGACCGTGCAGCTCACACCTTTGCTGTCTGTCGCGGTGCGCACAGGCACATGTCTTTCACGTACATGAAAGCCCAGTAGACGAATCGCTCTGGTATCAGAATTAATCCTGTGTTTTCAACAACATCTAGTGCATTCAAGCGCTTTTTCTTCCCCAGCCAATGGCTTCATTCAGATCCCACCGAACACTGTGGGAGTCTTGCATCAGGTCAGGAGCACACAGATGAAACAGAATTAATATCCCAGGCTACTGAGTTGAGTGAAAAGTAAATGTCCTGCTTTCACACAAATCAGAAGGAAAACAAAATGATTGTGTGCTGTAGAAAGCTCATCTGAGATACGTTACATTTGTGCAGGCATACAGTAAGAATTTCTTGTTATATTCCAGCTGGGTATCTTACTAGAATTGATTTAAACCAACGATTCTAAGAACTGTTTCTAGCATACACACAGCTTTACGTATATTGTGGTACAAACGAGACACACACAGGCAGGTAGGCAGAGAAACAGTTTTCTTTTTCCTTGTAGGAGCTGATTATAAATTTAGTTACTGAGCTAACTGCTCCCTCTCTTGTGGTATCAGTATACCTACCTTGTTATACTATTGCGTGCATCAGAATGACCTGATTGCTACAAAACGCTACTGAGGTATTTCATTTGATTTTCTCTGATGAGTGGGAACATCATGTGATGTTAACGCTCCTGGCTGGGTGCTGGCTTCAAACTTTGAGCAAAGTAGGATTTCCCAGCTAAGCAATATGCTTGAGTATAAGAAGGCTCTTCACTGACACCCCCCTCAACGCATACCCCTGACAAAGCTGATCTTCTTGAAGATACTTAGGGAGCAAGTGAATAGGGCCAACGCATAGAAAAGAGTTTCCTTAGTGACTGCCTTGGCAGGGTTATGTGCCTTTGTTTACAGTGAACTCTGCAGCTATAAAATATATTGGGAGGCACTGCTCACATTATTCCAATTAAAATGAAAGAAAGTAACCTAAATGAACCCCTTAACACTGATGTGAATGAATGAAACCAGTTTCTAGCAGCTAATTATGGATCTCGCCACATAAAGTATTGTTTAATGTGTAACGGATTATAATGTCCTTTTTTGTATAATTTCCAAATGGTGACATCTTGGACACAATTAGGGTCAGATATAAATGCTTGTGTTGTTTACGGTAGATTTAACAGCAGAGTAGCTATGGGAATAGCTGTATATGTATTTAATTGTAACAATTTAACCTTCAAATAGTGGTGCCTGCTGTAGCTGACCCAGTAAAACTATGTAAATGACACAGGTTGACCCGCCTGGCCTCTGGTAGTGGCCTGTCTTTATCAGATAGTCAATTTCTAATGATGTTCAAGCAGAATTCTTGGTGAATTGTCACAGATTAAACTGTGTATGGAAAGCAGTCCTTTAATGTTTTGTGAAGGTGGAGGTTTAAATGAGTAGCAGTTGGACTGATTTACATTTGTGAAGACTGGAATGCTAGACAAACAGTGAACCCATTTATTTTCCAACTGGGTAGCTTTGGAAATTTATCCTTATGTTAGCTAAATAGATAGAGGGAAAATAGTGTAATAAAAAAGTGGATTGAAAAGAATTAGCTCTGCTCTTAAAGGAAAATTGGTTTGTTTATTTGTGGACTTTTTTTTTTCTGTAGGATTACTGCCTGCTGCTGCTGCTGATTGAAAATAGAGATTATGGAATGATCCCGAAATCTTAAAGTTATTTATGGTCAAGACTCTTTTATAGCATTTGTAGATTCCCGCTATCCTTCCCACCCCAGTCCTGCTATATTAGGCTACTAAGTACACAAAAGTATTTTGAGTAGGTATATTGAAATGCAGAATTCTTGAAGCAAAAAAGTTCTTCGGCAGTTTCTCTGGCTTCCATCTTAAATATCTTTGCTCATCTATAATAGTGCTGGCAAAAAGTCTCTTAGGTAAAGGAATGTTAACTAGTTCTAAGAGGTGAAAGTGTCCTCCCCAAAGAAGTCACATTAAAAAAAAAAATGAAAAAACCCAAGTCCTTCTTAGATGAACACATAGATTAATATGGACTAAAGCAGGGGAAGCTGTGTATTGTGACACATCATCCATTACATTTTGCCCACAGATTACTGACAGGGAATGAGTGTGGGATACCTGCCCAGCTTGTGCCCACAACATCAGAGGAATGTTACACAACAGGGCATCTCTCCTTGTGGGTCAGGTCCTCTGATCACCCAGCAGAAAGCACTAACTCTGAGCTATGAATGTTATTCAGCTACGTATTCTGTTGTGTTCCAGTGCAATACAGAGCTTAGCAGACTAATTTGCTTAAAATATTTCGTAAATGAAAATTACACTGCTGTAGTGCAATTCACTTACACAGTAACACTTGATATTTGATACTGCTTGCATCAAAACACTGGCTGAAGGATTTTGTTTCTCAGCCCTCAAAGAAGTGCCATGGTTTGAATTAAACTGCAACAGCTACACAAGGGAGTCAGGATGCCTTTCCCAATAAAAAGTGTCAATGCCTTTTGCTTTTGCTATGTTAATATGTCGAGCTAGAAATGCTCTACCTATGTCTACATGGCATTTGACAGCTTTATGCATGAGTAGCTTTAAACATACACAGTTCCACAAATCATTTACCTTCCAAGTGTACAGCTGGCTTGTGGAAAGGCTGCCAGTGGCCTGTCTAGACATGCTTGGCTGTGTGATAACCTGTGGGGTGGGGGTCTGTCTGCATGCTAAGACATCCTCTGGGTTCATATGGGGCTGCATTTGCATGCTGGGTTGATCCTCTGTGCCTTGGGGAAAACCTGTTACTTACAATATTTACAGTCCAAATTCTGAAACCATTTTCATATTGTGCAAGTTCAGCGACCAAAGCACATTGGCAGAGACTGATGATGAGACTTGTGTGTGCCCCTGGGTATCAAATGTGTGAATTATGCACTCATTAGGTGACAAAGAAGTAAGCATCAGGTAAAAAACATATTAATGTGCCATGTTAGCTCCCAAGTACAATGAGATAAAGTGGATGGATGAATTATGACAAATTCTGTCCATCCACACTTTTAGCCTTATTTGACTCTCAGAAGCAGATTTAGCCTCTTCTGAAATCAAATATTTACATCTTACAACTACTTCAAATTGGTTTTGAAAACTCAAGGATTTAAACCTGTCTCAGCTGTAACACGGAAGAATAAATTCAAGCCTCGCCTTTGACCTCTGGGAAGCATTGTGTGGTTTTTGTTTGTTGTTGGTTTTGGGGTTTTGTTTCTGGGTTTTTATATGGAATTGGCAGAGGATTTAAATCACAGTTTGGGCAGGTGTATCAAATGGAATCTAGAGCATACTAAGATGCCATTGGGTTAGGAGTATATAACGAGGCAAGACTATTACTTTTCTAGCAGGTAAGACGAACAGTGAAAAAATATACAATAGGCTGCATTAACATGCCAGATTGGATTTACAACCATAAATTGGTAATAATACTTTTGATACAACTGTGACATTAGTAGAATGACCATTATAATTAACTTACATCCTAGAACTCCTGTCATATTTTACAATGGTAAAAGGAAGGCCATTTATATTACAAAATGACCTCTGTTACCACCTTGTCTGGAAGGGAAAGGTATGCCTAGACTGATCACAAGAAGCATAAAACTTCAGTTTTGAGAAATAGCTATTTATTGTTCAGAACATGTATTTAAGGAGATCTCACTGATGTCTGTCATCTTTTCTGATGTACAGGACATGTGTCAAGGTACCAAAGACTTCTTAAGAAAGCAAGAGAAATATTTCTGTGAATGAAGATGAGTGTGAAGTGCCTCCTCTGGTAATGTCAGATCTTTGCTGTTGCAGAAAGAAACAGAATCTGGAAGCATTTAATTGATTTCTTCTAGGATAAAGAAAGCTCAGACTTACCACACCCATACCTTTCCCCTCTGCTTTGTGCAATCATTGATGTAACTTGTCCTCTGCTTTTCCTCCTCTCCTCTTTTTTTCATAAAATTCCTTTGAGTATAACTCGAATTAACGTTAACCTAAATGCATCACTAAGAGAACAAAGCCTCTCTTTTACATCACAGTTCATCAGTCCACACCTATAGTTTACTAATCCTAAGGTTCTGCCAAAATGTCCATTTATTGTCAAAGGCTGGAAACTGGGACCTGTGCCTGGGTTTGTATATTTTCACCAGTACATTAAGATTCACACAGAATCCAAGTTCAACTTAAGACAAACCTCATCTTGGCATCCTATTCATTTAGTATTTTTTTTAAAGAGGTATTGAAAACGTATTAATTTTTATTCTAAATTGAGAGACATTCAGTGAAAATAAGCAGTATCCAGGTCTTCAGAATTTATAAAATGACCACTCACGCAAAAATCCAACGTTGTATTTGAAATACAGGTGCCCCTGGCATTGAATTCACTCCCTCCTGCCTGACAGAGAACAAAGGCAGCATTGTGTGGGCATTTTACAGTTTAAACTGGAGGTAAGTGTTTACAGCTACATCAGGACACTGATTTGAATGAGTGTGTAACTACTTTCAGTCCAATTCCCATTAAAATAAAGGGTATTTTGGATAGAAAGAAAGAACAGTTGATTTAAACACCCCCCGGTGATAGCAGATGGGGCTTTTAAGCCATACCCTGAGTTGACTTCAAACGTCAGAGAGAGAATATCTCAGAAGTATGAAACAAGCTGCTAAAGCAGCCGACAGAGAGTGAAAGGAAGGACATGAAAACTCCAGAAACCGGGAAAGCCGAAGGCAGACTGACATCATCACTGTAGTCAAAAGCATCAAGCAAAGACACAGCTGAGCCCACTCGCAAGATTTTCCACTCCATTTTGCTACTCACACACATGCAACCTGACAATGTGTGAAAGGCAGTGTCTGTTTACAAGTTTATTTTTCCAGCTGTTTCCATTTTTTCCCCCTTTAAATTTAATGCATAAATTAACTGTATTGAGGCTACTGCCAATGTGAGGTGAAGTGCTTCTGAGGAGAAGTTTAGTATATTTACAGAGAAGAAATGGAAGCACAAATGCTATTGAGATGACTGTCACTGAGCTCTGTGGGTATTTAGGAGACGGAAAAACTTCAAATTAGGAGTAAGCTGGACAGAAACATGAAAGATGAGGGGATGTTAAAACCTTTAGGCTAGGAGCAGAGCTTAATGTTCACAAAATCCCTACAGCTTTAAACATCAGTGTCAATAAAAAAATGGAGAAAATATGTCAAGACTGGCTGGAGGAACAACTGGATCCTAGAGCTGAAAATATGAGTGAAAATATGAGACAGTGCCTATTTGATACCAGGCTCAGGAGATCTCCTTCAGTCCTGTTTATGTCTACAGTCCTATCTACAGTCTGTCTTCCTAGGATGCCATACGTGAGACAATGCATTTTTCTTCTCATTTTGAAAATGTAGCCTTCAGGAGGACGACAAAAGGGGACGGGAACATTATGAGGTATTTCAGAGGTCACTGATGGCGTGAACAGAAGTCCACTGAAATGAATGGGGTCTAACTACCATCCATACCGAGATTTGAGCTGCATGGCAAGTTGTAGATACTCAAAAATGACAAAGCAAACAGTGAATGTGTACACAAAAGCAGGAAAATCACCAAGTCTTTCACAAAAAGCAGTAGGCAAAAAAGGGCAGGCCTTTCTCTCACTGTGCCAGGATCAGCTATCTAAAGGGTAGGAATATATGGGTCATATCATAGCAAGCCTGAAGAACAGTGTCCCCCAAGGAGTGGTGAGATGTGGGTTAATATAATTATTAGCTGGCTTGGAAGGCAGAAGGGGCTGGAAGGAGCAACCAGGCACAGAATGTCGGAAGAAATTCAGTGTTGGCAAAGACAAAAAGTTTTTTAATTTAAATTTAAAGAAATGCTTTATTCTAGTCATGATCACTGCGTATATTTGGCTAGGAAAAAAACCTAAATGGTAGGTGATAACTGAAAATCTGAAATATGGAACCAAACAGAAAGCTTTATGCACTGGTTATACTCCATATATGTTGTACTTTTATTGGTATACAGAATGACCCAAAGCATTTAAAATTTAATGGGGAAAGAGAATATGAATGTGGGGAATAAGGTCAAACATACAGGTCTTGCAATAGCTGGTGAGCCTTGCTATCTCTTTTGGATATTGCTGATGTGTTTGTAAATAAAAATATTCTCTTCAATACATTCTGCATTAGGGAGAGTGGCTGGAGTAGAACAGCTGACCTAAGACCCCTCAATAACATTATTTTGCATACGAAAGGGAAGCATGGAATAAATAAATAAAGTCAAACTGCCATCTTACAAACTCATCCTCACTCAGAATCTGCTGTTTGGTTTTGATTAGCTTAACTAGAGGAAGAAAAAAAGATCCTGAGAAGGGCAACAGAAATTATTAATAGCATGGTGGTTGACGAGAGTATTCAGTTTAAAAGAAAAGAGGTTTTATAGATACTAGAAATTCCAAAACTGGTGATGTGTCAGGTGTCTAGCATTCCTGGGTTGTTTTTTTTTGTTGTTTTTTTTTTTTATACAAGTAATGAAAATCCAAAGATTTAAAGCTATTTATTAATGAAAGAATGTAGTCAGTGGGATCCTTTGCCACAGGAACTACAGAAGAGCTGTTAGAGCATCCATGGAATAGGGATTATTATAAAAAACAACAGAATTAATTCTTCAGAGTGCCACCAGCCCCAAATTGTGAGGAAGAAAGGTACTCTACAGGCAGACTGTTTTATTAGGCTCCATGAGAGCTACTGCAATATAATCAGGATTAGGGCCACTTTTGAGAACCTCTGAAATTCTTTGAAACTTCTGGAACTGTTCCCTGTTTTGACTAGATGAACGAGATTGTATTTCAGGTAAATCAATTCCTTTGTTCCCAGCCTGTCTCTCCTGTAAGACTATTTCAGCAACCCTTTGCCCAAACTACATGCAAAGTAAAAATCAAATAAAAGACTAGATTGAAGGCTCAGGAATGACAAGCATAAGAATTATTAAATATCCCAGGAAAGCTCTGTTTCAGAAGCATCTAACAGCACTTTTCCAGAGGGATCAGTGGCCTTAGGGCACAGTATGGAGTATATTAGCTGCAAAGTGAAATTGTACATTAGTTCACACTTGTAATGGTAAAAGAGGAATATTAAAAATAATCACAACAGCTCCGCTTTCTGGTGGGGAGGAGGAGAAAAAGAAAGTCCACTTCCACAGATCCAAGAGTGCTAACTATGATAAAAATCTTTTGCACTCCAGGTAACAAACACTGTCGTCTTTGCTTGACTGATGAAGATTAGCTGACTTCTCACATTAAAGAAGTTTGTCTTGTATGGGCTGAAGTGACAAGACAATAACTAAGTGCTAATTGTGCATAACCAGCACTAAAGATATGCAGCCCCATTATGGCATGTAATAAATGAAGCGAACAACAGAAATATATTAGGCACTTTAATAATGATACTAGAACCATGGTTTGAAAAAATAAAGGGATGTGAAGGGTTTAAGAAATGAGACCTGGGAGTGTGCGTGTGTTTTACTTCAGTGGGTACTACAGGAGGCTCTGCCTGCCCTGCTCAGAATACAGCCTCTTAGTTCTGTGGCAAGACAAAATTGATATCAGACTTTAAATAGCATTAGAACCTATAATTACTTTGCATTATTATATAGTTTAAGCAGTGGTTATTACTTGCCTGGTATTTTAATTTCCCATGCAACATGATGAAAAAGGTCAATTTGGCTTTTTTAAAAGAGCATAATTGTACTGTGCTACACTTATTAGCAGCTGTACATTTTATGGTCCTTTAGGGATGTTTGATTTTTAAATGACTGCAGTGTTACAAAATAAGACACTGTAGGACAAGGTGAGTTAACAAAGCTTATTTAAAGCTGTGTCTAACTTTGTCGTGTTGAGACTATTATCTAATTTTTTATTAATGTAAATCCTGTGTTTCTTCCCACTTGAAAAAAATATGAATGCTATACAACATTACATGATCTAAATAGGATCATGTAATTGAAAAATAACTGAAAATAATAGGCACATTAAGGAGCAGACATAATTGGTTCTCTCATTTCCTAGACCTTATAGAAGTCACTGGCAAAGTGGCTAGTAGCTCTTGTGGAGTCAGAAATGGAGCTCTGGGTTAAATCTCTGGCGGGGTTTGGCCACCAGGCTGAATGTAGTTGCTGTAAGTTCAACTGTATTCAGGTGCCAAAAATGAAATTGTTACAATTTTACCATTTTTGACACATGTTCTGCAACTGCAGCATATAGGTGATGCTTCAGAATAAAGTGTCAGGCTTGGGTCCTTGGGATTGTTACAACCTGCCATTAGGCTATGGAAATAAAAATATGGCATAAGAAGTCCAATGCTGCTACAGAGAAAATGGTGGGAACAACATCTTTAAAATTTAAATGATTGCAGCTCTGGCAACAGGAAGAAAAAATATGTACTTTAGAAGAAATACATGTGATAAAAATGAAGAATTAAAGTGAAATTAATGACAAATGATACTGCTATGCTCTTCTGCAGAAAAGGGTCTCAAAATCCTTTATAAATATTAATTAATTAAACTTGACAGCCTTTTGAAGGAGAGGAAGTAACATTATTCTTTTTCACTGATGCTGGATTTGAGGCACAAAAAGTTTTCTGGCCAAGGTCATGAAAGATGTTCTGTATCAGTCCCAGGATAAGTATTCAGGTCTTACTCTCAATCTTGGGTTTCCATAACTGGTAGATGTTTCTTCCTCACTTGAATGTATGCCTGCATCAGTGCTGAATTAGCACTTAGCTTATGGAACAGACCCAAGAAATTCTCTTACCTCTGATTACAAAGTTGACACGCAAAACAATCCAGGTGATAAACATTGTCCTTTGCTCTCATCACCATTTCAAAAGCAGGTATGAGCTTACTGCAGGCAGCACAGTTTCCTGTAACGCCAAATAACCTGGAGATACAGAAAGAAATATATTCCTGAAGATGGTTAACTGGAAAGAAAACCACACTTTCTTTTTTTATACACACACACCCCCCCTTCCCACTGCCCTTGTAGTTGTCTGGCTTT